GGCGAGGTCGGGCGACCACCAGCGAGCCAGATCTGCCGCCGCCGCCGGTCGCGCCGAGGCCAGGCGACCCTCGGCGGGGGTCGCGCGACCCAGCGGCCGTCGCGGTCGCCTAGCCTCCAACCGCCGACGGCGGCAGATCTGGCTCGCTAGTGGTCGCCCGACCTCGGGCGACGGCCGCCGGCGCCAGATCTATCTTGCCGGCGGCCGTAGGCCCTCGCCGGCAGCCTGCTCCGGCGATGGTAGGTTTTGTTTTTTTTTTTTTAATAAATAAAATAATTTTTAAAATCCATTTGCAAAAAAAATTTACCAAACACTATATTTTGGCCAAAGTAGCTTTACAAAATATTTTTACCGAACACCATTTGCATTTCCCCAAAGGTATTTGCATTCTCCCAAGTAGTATTTTCAAAGTTGAACCAAACAGGCCCGTAGTCTTCTGGTGGTTATGTTGGGAGCTAATCTAGCTGGTGAAAAGATGTGCTGACGAGGAACTGACAATTGCATAAAAGTAACTTGAAAGTTTCAAAGAGGTTGCGATCATGATATATCACTAACATGTCGAGGCTTGTGTGTCCTAGTTGCCAGATTTTACAAGTCGTCGTTAGTGCTCGTGTCATGAAAATTCGAATATGTTTACTTTGTCGGACCTATCAGATATCTTTCTTAAGAGACACCACTTGCTAATGTCGATGCATAAAAGCAAACATCTGTAAACATAAGGGAAGCTTTTGCGGCACCAATTTGCCCAAAGTGCCCCCACGAAGGTTGATTATTAACCCATTTTCGAGAATAAAGTAAGCTTGGGATCGACAATGACAAGCCAAGACATAAGAAAGTACTTTTGTCCATTTTTGTTGTCGTTTTGTTTTTGGACATTCATTGCACTTGACTTTTTTTATTTTGGTCGAGGGCCTTGAAAAAGTCACTTCTAACTCAAACTTGGAGCCAAGTCAGGAAAAAAAGAAGAAGAAAAGAGGGAAATGACCCGGAGGCTTTTGTAGGTTTTTAAAAGGGTTAATACCACGAAAAATCTTGAACTGATATATTTGTGACAGATTTACCTCAAATTATTTTTTTGACCATAAAAAACCCCAAACTGGTACATCTGTGATAATTTTACCCCGAATTATTTTTTTGACCACCAAAAACCCCAAACTGGTACACCTGTGACAATTTTACCCCGAACTATTTTTTTGACCACCAAAAATCCCAAACTGGTACACCCGTGACAATTTTACCCCGAACTAATTTTTTAATATTATTTTTTTATTTTTCGAATTTTTTTTAGTTTTTCTTTTCTTTTCTTTTTCCTTTCCTTTTCTTTTTTTTTCCTTCATCTTCATTGGACCAACAATGGATTGTTATATTGTAATTGATACCACAATAACGTGACACGTAACATAAATGCTACATTTTGACCCAAAAAAAAAACATAAACGCTAAATGAAAGACTTTCTTTTATATGCATGAATTTTCATGCCAACCACTTTTTTCTACATTTAAATGTCTCGCGAAAAAGGCATTATATTGTTGTCGTGTCTTTCTTATTTTTGGGTGCAAGTGGATAGGCAAACTGATGGGGTCCAACGTAGGCTTGTTACCTAAGATTGGAGTACAGCTAATCAACAATTTCTATACGTCTTGCTTGCCAATTTAATTTAATAGATTAATTTACAAAATTAGTATATTTTATATATAAGATGAGAGATATTATATGTGCATGGCGATTCATAAATCAATATGATCACTTGAAATATATAATAAATAAAACGTGAGACATTTAAATGTAGAAAAAAGTGGTTGTCATGAAAATTCATGCATATAAAAGAAAGTTTTTCATTTAGCGTTTATGCTTTTTTTTGGGTCAAAATGTAGCATTTATGTTACGTGTCACGTTATTGTGGTATCAATTACAATATAACAATCCATTGTTGGTCCAATGAAGATGAAGGAAAAAAAAAAGAAAAGGAAAGGAAAAGGAAAAGAAAAGAAAAACTAAAATAATTAGAAAAATAAAAAAAATAATATTAAAAAATTAGTTCGGGGTAAAATTGTCACAGGTGTACCAGTTTGGGGTTTTTGGTGGTCAAAAAAATAGTTCGGGGTAAAATTGTCACAGGTGTACAAGTTTGGGGTTTTTTATGGTCAAAAAAATAGTTTGGGGTAAATCTGTCACAATTGTACCAGTTTAGAGTTTTTCGTGGTATTAACCCTTTTTAAAAAGAATATGTCCTAACATGTTGGGCTTCGACTGGGTCCAGAGATGTTGGGCTCCAGGTTCGTTATAAACACATTACTTAAGGTGCTCTTTTCCCAAAGATCGTTGACTCGAGGTGCATTTGCTCAAAGCAAATACCTTTGGTTAAGTGACTTTTAGTGTATGTTTTTGCAAAGGAACTTTTAAGTTAAAACGATAAAAGATAAACAGAGGGCATGGCTACTGTTCAATGTCCCCGTCGTGGAAGCAAATCTAGCGAAGCAAATCAATCAATTTGCCCCAATATCAGATTGTGGTTAGGCATTGAAGAATGAATCTCAGGATATGAATAACTTCTACACCCACTCAGCTAGCGATTCAGAGTCGACACTCAACTGCAAGCTCAGAGTACCCAAACTTCAATTTCTTCATCTTCTAATAAAGGGGAAGTTTAAAAAAAAAAAAAAAACCTAAACTATGTCCACTGTAACATATTTGTCATAAACTTTTTGTAACATCAAAAATCCCAAACTATATCCATTATGAACCATTTATTCTAAAATTTTTCTTGTGACATAAAAAATTCCCAAACGTGTACCTAAGTATCACATTTTGCCCTTCATCAATGTTCTGTTAGATAATTTTTCAGCTAGAACGTTGTTTTTAGTTCACTTAAACCACATAGACATCATGTCAACACTGTTTTCTTTTTTACATCTATGTAGGAAAATTTTTAACGATTCTCATTGACAAAACTTTGACGAAAGGTAATGTGTCATATAGGTACAAATTTGGGATTTTTTGAAACCAAACCTACGCAAACCTAGATCCTTGGCGACCTAGGCTCGCGATTGTCGACCTAGACGCGTGAACCAAGACCTTTGGCAACCCTTAGCGAGCTGATCTTGACTGTTGGCGGGGCATCAGACTAGCTAGCGATTCAGTCTAGATGTACCCACGATCGTCAACCCAGACGCGTGAACCCACACCCTCAGCAAACCTCAAAGTTTGGTTCAACGAGGGAGAATATTAATAGTAATTTTGAGGGAAAAAATCGAAATGTGGAAATATTAGCAAGGACAAAGTTGGAAGAAAAAATTCATTAACCCTGAAAGCAGTATTCCGAAAACTGTTAGATGCCAATGCAAGTGCATTGGGTTAGGGGTCTTTGGACATGGTAGTTTTGATTGAAAGGCCTTTGCAATTTTGTTGCCAAACACCTTAACATTTTGCCAAAGGCCTTTACGGGCTCAAAGTCTTTTGGCAATGTTGTGTCAAATGCTTAGTGTCAAGAGAAAACATATATATTTTGCGATCCTAATTAAGGCTGTAACATAATTCATAATTATTTATTCATTAATTATGTTTTTAGAATAATTTTATAACCTTATTATGAGGATTATATTGTGCTAGGATAGATTGTAATTTTATATAGATGACAATATATCATACTTTTTTTATTCCATTCATTCTCACAATTGTTTTATAACAACTACATAAAATAATTTTCATTCCATTTCGCTCCCACAAAATACTAGCAAATTTTGGAATCCTCGTTCTATTTTATTGCATATCATTTTATACCGCCGTACCAAACATATCAATAAAGTGTCAATTTGGCCAAGACAAAAGTATAAAGAGTACTAGATGGCATGCGTCTTTGGCACAACGGTAAAGGCCCGTTTACAAGCAGCCTTTAATCAAAATAAAGGAATAGTTTAAAGCTATAAAATCATGAATAGTGTGCATGAATGCAAATGACCTCAATTGTCTATGTAAAACAGATTTTTAAAATTCGATTTGTTCATTATTAAATGAAATTCACATGTTAACTATTAAAAAATTAAAGTAACGCCACTTTATAAACAGCCTTCCTTATTTGGGGGAAAGTCAAATTTTGCGGAGAGTGATAAAATTGATGGACTCCATTCTGTAAATAAATTTCGTAAAGTAATCTTAATAAGTTTATCAGTTCTAACCACGGGATTTACCCCAGTGGCCACTCATCCTATTTGGAAAGGGGGAAATGGGGAGTTCGATTCATCACCTTCTCAAGGGGGCTAGGGGTGGTGACGTTTAATTTCAGATGTGGATTTCGACTCATAATCCGGTTCCCCTTCCCGGTTCCAAATGGGGAACCGAATTACCCGGACCGGATCGATACTTTTTTATGAGCAAGTTAATGATATTTAATCATATTTTATCACACCTTTAGCATCTTTCCAACGAAATTTTCATTGATTAAATATCCAATACGATAAAGAATGAGAGTTTAGATTATACAACAATACTTGTGATCTGGCAGGGAATAGTTAAAAAAAAGGATGTCACTGCCGGTTCCTAGACCCACCTTGTCCGATCTACTTATAAGACTAGGTGGGCTGATGCCCGATTCCATAAGTTGAGAATCAACCCTTCTGGTCTGGTTCTCGATCATGCAACAACACTTGCGATCTTGCAGGGAATAGGAGAAAAAAGAAAAGAAAAGGATATCGCCGCCTATTCCTAGACCCACCCAGGGCTTGTCCGGTCCGGTTCGGTTCCAGGACCGGCGGGCCGATGGCCGATTTCACAAATTGAGAATCGACCCTTCTAGTCCGGTTCCCGATTTCAAGATGGGAACCGACCCACCCCGAAACCAACGACTCCTAATTCGGCAGCTGACATTTGCGGTTACAGAGCATCGAGTTCGGCGGTCACCTCCAGACAAAGTCACAAGCCGTAGCTCGAACTCGCGGTTCTTGGACGCAGGATCCACACAGACACACAAAAAGCCCAGTCCGAGTAAAGAGAGCAAAATAAGAGGGGGGACACTTCGGCTGCTTCCCATCCACACACAACCCAAAAGTCACGTATTATCCAATCATCATCCATCCCTCATCATCTTCATGTCTTCCCTCCTCCCGCTAACCCAACCTTTTCCCACTTAATCCTTTACCCAGCAGAAAAAATTCAAGAAGCCATGCTTATAAACCTCTCAGCATGCCCGCCATCTTCTTCCTATTCCTTCACCAGGTTGGTCAATCCCAAGTCCCTCCTCTCGGTATACCCCCTGAAACCCAGAACCCACGTCTCAAAATCTCTTCTTGCTGCGCCTTTCCCTCTCTGCTCTCTGCCTTCGGCTCAGCCTAATTTCGACGGCAGGAATCGGTTCTCCTTCGGGAGGAGCGGGTTCTCGCGCGGGAAGAGGCTCGATTTGAGGGCGTTTGCCGCTTCCGGGTTCGATTTGGGCAACTTCGAGTCGGTCCTGGAGGCTGCTGGAGTTCTCACCGCCATTATCGTGGTTCATGAGAGCGGTCATTTCTTGGCTGCTTGCCTTCAGGGCATTCATGTAAGTAAATTCGCTATCGGGTTCGGCCCGGTTTTAGCTAAGTTTGATGCGAACAATGTAGAGTACTCTGTTAGAGCTTTCCCTTTAGGTGGATTCGTAGGATTTCCAGACAATGATCCTGAGTCTGACATTCCGGTGGATGATGTGAATTTGCTCAAGAATAGGCCGATATTGGACAGGGTACTAGTTGTTTCGGCCGGCGTGATCGCCAATCTAGTGTTTGCGTATGTTATAATCTTTGTTCAAGTGTTATCTGTTGGATTACCTGTGCAAGAGGCTTTCCCCGGGGTGCTCGTGCCTGAGGTCCGGGCCTTTTCAGCAGCCTCTCGAGACGGGTTGCTTCCTGGCGATGTGATTCTTGCTGTTAACGGAAATCAATTATCGAGACAAGGGCCCACCGCAGTTTCCGAGCTCGTAGATGCAATTAAGAATAGTCCAAGGAGGAATGTGTTGCTTAAGATTGAGAGAGGGAAGGAGGACTTTGACATTGGCGTGACCCCGGATAAAAACTTTGATGGGACTGGTAAAATCGGAGTGCAATTATCACCGAACATTAGAATATCGAAGGCTATACCAAACGATATTTTTGAAGCCTTTAACTTTGCTGGCAAGGAATTTTGGGGTCTATCAGCCAATGTACTCGACAGCTTAAGACAAACTTTTGTGAACTTCTCGCAATCAGCTAGCAAAGTTTCTGGTCCTGTAGCAATCATCGCTGTAGGTGCAGAAGTTGCTAGATCAAATATCGATGGACTTTACCAATTTGCAGCTGTGTTAAATATAAATCTGGCGGTCATAAATCTTCTTCCATTGCCTGCCTTGGATGGGGGCACGTTAGCCTTAATTCTCATAGAGGCGGTGAGGGGTGGAAGGAAGCTTCCTCTGGAAGTGGAACAGCGTATCATGTCCTCAGGAATCGTGCTTGTCATATTTGTCGGGCTATTTCTCATTGTTCGTGACACCCTCAACCTTGACTTCATCAAAGACATGTTGTGAGTGCCTAGTGGACCATTTTGCTGGGAAAAGATTCCACATGGATCTCAGCACATTGTTGAGCTTCAGTTGATGATGATACCAGGCGGAATGGGGAATTTGATGTGAGTTGACATATCTAGTTTTTTCCCCTCGAGGAGTAGCAGGACAGATGATATTTGGCTTCATTCCTTTTTTTAAGTTTGTGCATCTGCTGCTGTTCTTGGTCATAGATCCAGAAGGTGTAATTCTTGTGGAATTATATTACAAATACTTGCTTGATTGCATACTCAACATCCTGTCCATGTTATCTATACCTCATTTTAATGGTCCCGTCTGATTTGGCTCTTTTGAGACTTATATTTGCTTAAGGTGGTTATTTACTTTTGATAGTTTGACTCCATCTTCAAGTTTTCCATCATAAATTTCATAGTTAAGTGGTTTTGGGATTTCGTAGAGCCTTCTTAAGACTTTGTTGGCTGATGTGGGATCGCATAGCAGACGCAACCCTTTGTAAACTCATTACAAAGTTATATATTCCTGGTATCTGAATTGGGGGCTTTTGCTATTTCGATGATCCTCCGTTTAATTCATCTGTTTTGTCGTAGAAGAGCTTTTGTTGATGCAAAAAATAGGTTGTGTAGTAGGTGAGAATACTTCAATTAGTACTGCTTCGCTTAGGATCATTATGGAACATCTGAACAATTACGATGCTGATCATGGACGTTATATCATACTCTGTCGCGATAATTTTGGAATTTATACTGTAAACTGTTGTTGCTCAGCAGCCAATCAGCAACCTTTCCTATTTAAGCCCTGTAACAAGACTTAAAATTCCCTCATCAGGGAAAAATGCAGGACAACATACAGGGGTAGATTGGCCTGATTTTACGATTTTTTTTTTGTTGCGGTTGCATCTAAAACCAGGGTACATTTACATAAAACAGTTGAACCACTTTGCACAGGGAAGTGACCTAAAAGAGGGGATAACTGGAGATGATGCCCTTCATGTGTACCTTCAATCTGTATGAAGACCTGTTATGTTAAGCGCTCTTGAAGATCCCTGAGGGAGGTCGATAGGAACAAAAGAAACAATCTACATTAGGTGGTTGCAATGTTTCTCCATCATTGCGTGACCTTTAGCATCAGTCCCGGATCAAAAACTAAGGTGTATTGGATTCATATGAGCCCAGTACACCACAACCCTCGATTTTGATGGATTTCACGTGAGGTTTACATGTTCGACAGTAAGGTAACCGATGATAGTTTGTCCGAGACCGTGGACAGTTATGAGTTTGGCATCGGTAGAGTTGCAAGATAAGGTAATCTTCTCCGGAGTCAATGCTGACTTTTGGGTGGTGAGTGAGCATTTGAGCCGCTTCGTCTATGGGGAGAGAGAGAGAGAGAGAGAGAGAGAGAGGAGAGGAGGAAGGAGTCAAACTCATTTCTCAGTTTGGGTTGAAAGTGGGTTTGTTAGGGTGTATTTGATAACTTATCAAATAGTGATTGATTCTATTATTTTGTTTCCGGGAACAAAAAAAGAACAGAAATCTGTTTAGTAAATTTTTTATTCCCGAGCACAAATTTGTTCCCAGAATCAGTTTTGAAACAGAATCAAGAATCAACTGAACAAGAATAAAAAATATAAGAGAAATTTTTTTTTCTTTTTCTTCTTTCCTTCCTGGTTGTGGCCGGTTCTTCTTCTTCCTAGCCTGTGGCAAGTGGCCGGCGACCAGCCACAGGCCAGGGCCGGCGACAGCGTTGCGGCCCTTGCCAGATCCGGCGAGGGCGGCCCTCGTCCAGGCCGCGAGGGTCCAGCCTTCGCCCTCACCTGTGGTTGGCGAGGGCCCCGACGCCCTTGTTGGCCCTGGCTTGTGGCCAGTCGCTGGCCATGGCCAAGCAGGAGAAGAAGAAAAAAGAAAAAGAAAAAAAAAGAGAAAGAAATATTAAAAATATTAAAATATTATTGATAAAAATAAATTTTGTGCGGGTACCAAACACATTTCTGTTCTTTTTTTATTTTAGGAATATAAATTTTGGGCAGTTACCAAACGCTTTTAAATGCTTAGAAATTATTTTCGGGAACAGAATAAAAAAAATCATTTATGAGCAAAAATCGTTTCCAGGAACAGAATGGTTACCAAACGCACCCTTACTTAATCCACTACAAACTATCTTTTTTGTCTTTTTCTTTAGAATCCAATTCGGCCATATTTTAAGTTTAAGCAGATCCATTTATGATCCACTTTTATAAATATGAGTTAAGATATGGATTTGTGCAATATTTTCATGCTATATAATATACACATATAAAAAAAACTTCCCGTTTATATTTATTGAAGTATTTTATGAGAACTCTTTAAAAGCTAAAAAGTTTTTGAGGATTTTCATGCATAGAAATGCTGCAATGAAATCGAGAACGAATTGTTTATTTCTTCTTTCGAATTGAATAAGTACACATTTAGAGTTTCTACTGACATATAATTTAGAAATATACCACCTATCATCAGAGGGGATTAAAGTACAAAAAATTCAATAATTAGTCAAACGAAATGCGAAAATAGTAAAAGTGGTGTATTAACCAAACCAATAAAGAAAATAGCGAAAAAGGAAGGGGCAAATGACCCAAATCCATCAAGATACTATAAGCGAATTGCGTTTCATACCGTAAATCACGACCCAAAAAATCTCAACAAAAGACGGTGAGTACAGTCGGAATCATATTCTGTTGCCCAATGTAACAGGTAATTATTTCATGAGTAAGAACAGATGGAGATTAATGAGAAGCGTCCAAATGATAAAAGCGAGGAAAATAATAAGGAAAGTGACATCGAAATAATAAAAAAGTACGTAAACAGCAACGCGAAATATGCATTCACACTAAAAGCGTGAGCTGAGTGCTGGAACGACAATACTATAAAGGTAAAAGACATAAATGGCTCCCGAACTTTGACTCAATATATAATATGGTCTTTGAATTTTTAATTTGTTCAATATAACTCCTGAGCTGTACCCTTATGTGCAATGTGGTTTCTGAATTATATGAAAATGTTCAATATTGTTTCTGAACTTGAATTAATTGAATGACAACATTGAACATATTCATATAGTTAAAGGACTATGTTGAACATGTAACAAAAGTTCAAGAATCACATTGAACCAATTAACAGTTCAGGGACCAGAGATTGCACATTGGGCTAAAGTTCATGGACCATATCGAATAAAGGGATAAGTGCACTAGAAGTCCTAAGACTTGCCACGAAAGTAAAATTGAGTCCTAAAACTTTCAAAAAGTGCAATCAAGTCCCGAAAATTTTCACAAAGTGCAATTGAGTTTAAAAACTTTCAAAAAGCGCAATCAAATAATAAAACTTGTTAAGCTGGTGCCATCAAATTCTAAAATTTGGTAGTATTTTCCATTTGTCAAGTTAAACAGAATTAACAAAAAAGACTTAAATGCACTAACTAAATAAGTTTTATGACTTGATTGCAGCTTTTAGAAAATTTTAGATTTCAATTGCACTTTTATGACAAATTTAACCACTCGATTGCACTTTTTGAAAGTTTTAGAATTCAATTGCACTTTCATGACAAGTTTTAGGACTTTTGGTACGCTTATCCCTTGAATAAATTAAAAGTTCATATACCATGTTGCACATTGGATCAAAGTCTAAAAACCACATGTCATTATCCCTACTACAAAAGGTCTCTTGTGCAGGATTAATCTGTATTATTAACAAGCAGGAACAAAATCGCGGTTTCCCTAGCCCGTTAAGCATGGAAATCAGTCTTAAATTTGGAAAAAGAGCTCTTTCCAGGGGCCTCAAACAAACTCACGACAGTTTTGGTGGCCCCAAAATGAAAAATCACCACTCTTGATTCAAGAGACTAGATAAGATGGTGAGGCATTATTTCAAGATTTCTTTCATGAATAATTAGCGAGAGTACGACCGAATTATGCTCCACACATCAAGTCAAAACAATTAACAGTCAACGACTTGTTCAACATGGGGATGGTTGACGGTTTTACGGTCGATCGCATGCACGCATAGGCGCTCGTGCTTATCTACCACGAGGGAAACAAGGAGTGCGTTCTTCACTGATTAGAAACTGCTCATTTTCACAAATAGAATCCTGTTATTTTCATGCGATTATCAATCATCACTTTCTAACCAGAACGGTCGGACACGTAGCCTCGCATTTCGCGAACCAAGAATGCCGGGGCATGTCAACGCAGAAATCGGGTTGAAAGGAGAAGGAAAACGCGTAGAAGCGAAGCGCCCGCCCACGTAAGCTTTGCGAGGCTGACCGAAATGGAAGCTCGCGCCTTTAAAAACTCCTCTCCTCAGTTTCTCACTCTGTGATCTCTCCACCACCCACCCTCTCTCCTCCCTCAAACTCTAGGCCCAAGAAAGAAGCACCTGATCTGTCTGTCTGTCTGTCTGTCTCTGTCCCTCTCTCCTCTGCCTCTCTCCTCTGCGTCGAATTCTCTTAGTTAACCTTGGAGGGGAGGGGAGGAGAGATGAGTTCCTCGTCCAAATTAGCAAAAACCCATCTCTTGCCTTGAAGGTTTTTCCTTCTTCTTTTTTTTTGATTTCTTTCTTCCTTTTTGGTCCTTGATCTTTCCAAAACCAGAAACGTTCTGTAGAAACACCTAGGCTTCTTCTGTTTGTCGTGTCTTTTCTTGTTTTTCTTTATTATTGATACGCATACATAAAAAGAAAATAAAAAAAAACACCCCAGAAACATCCCGTTGCATTTGACACGAGCACCCAAAATGGTGACGAACACAAGCTTTGATGGGGCGGAGAAAGCCGTTTCGGAGCCTAATAGGGACGGCGATGACCGCACGAGCGGCGGCGGCAGCGGTGAAGGGCAAGGACAAGGGGCAGCGTTGAAGAAGGGGCCGTGGTCGGCGGGGGAGGATGCGGTGCTGATCGAATACGTGAAGGCGCACGGTGAGGGTAACTGGAATGCCATCAGGAGGAAGACCGGGTTGATGCGGTGTGGGAAGAGCTGCAGGCTGAGATGGGCAAACCACCTGAGGCCGAACCTCAAGAAAGGTGCCTTCTCGCCCGATGAAGAGGCCAAGATCATCCAGCTTCATGCTCGGCTCGGCAACAAGTGGGCTCGCATGGCCGCTCAGGTAAAAACCATACATATTTCGTTATCGTAGCAAGAAATACATTTGTTTTGTTTGAACGTTATCATCTCTTTAATATGTGCTTTGTGTATTTGGCTGTGTGGGGTTGTTGCAAGGAGAGGGTCTTGAGGTTGATTTATTCTATCATTCCTGTGAGTGGATTCATATGTGTTTCCATTGTGCCCTAATCTTGCAATAGGCCTCTCTCTCTCTCTCTCTCTCTCTCTCTCTCTCTCTCTCTCTCTCTCTCTCTCTCTCTCTCTCTCTCTCTCTCTGGAAGCCTCCTTCCGTTTTTCTCTGACCAACCCTCTTCTCATAGAAATTGATCTGCATGATTTTATGCCAATACTAACACGTAAAGAAAAGTCGCATGAACGTCATATTAACTTCGATAAAAGCAAATAAATGAAATACACATTGACTTTATCTGGCACGTCTGTAATGACAAGCGAATAAGCCGGTGCGCGAATAAATTTCCTCTCTCTTGAGATGCAGTTGCCCGGAAGGACCGACAATGAGATCAAAAACTTCTGGAACACAAGAATGAAGAGACGTCAGAGAGCAAATGAACCTCTCTATCCTCAGCAAGTTCCTCAGCAAGTTCAACCGGAAGCGACCGTCGCCTATGATATTAATCTCCAGCCGCACCCCGTCGCTACTTCCTCCCTGCAATCTCTACTTGCCCCACCACAACAACAACCGACTCTCTCTCCTAATGTTTATCACTCACTTGATCCTCTCTCATACCCCAAACCCTATCATCACCCGGAGAACATCATCAACGGCATCTTCACCGCGCCCTCGGTCGTTCCTCCTCATTCTTTATTGTCGCCGCCCCCATTCCTATTCGACATGGGGGCTTCCGATCTGAACCTCATCCTTGACGCATTCAACATTGGAGTCACTCCAGTTGAGCTCAAGCCCATCATCACCGACAGGCTGAGAGAGAACAGCATGGCGGCGGCAGCAGCAACGACGGGGGTGACGGCCATGAGCAACTCTTCTATGATGGGTGGCGATTACATGATGGGAGCTTCTGCTGCTGGTGCCGCCTCCAGTTGCTGCTCGAACAATTTCGAGGCTACACCAACGTCAGCGGTGTCGTCGATGACAGCACCAAACAACAGTGGTTTACTAGACGCCTTCTTCGAGGAAGCTAGAGCTGCGTCGGCGCAGAAAGTGAAGGGAAGTATGGTGGGTGGAGTGAATGTGGGAAGAGCTGAGAGGGGAAGCCATCAGGGCATGGAGGCCAACCAGCGGTGGGAGAATTTTTGCTCCGCTCCTTCATCTCTCAATGGTAAGCGATCTGAGCATGTTTAATACTTCTCCCTGTTCCTTCATTTCTTTATTTCTGCTTTTGTTGGTTTAGCATGAATATCCGGAGGTAGTTCGAGCATCCAATTGGAGTCTTTTAATTTTTGTTAGTTGAACCGCACATTTCAAGAAAATTTGGGAGCTATCTACCCTTTTGTGTAACTTCTTTGAGGACCTCAGGATTGATCATTACATATTAATTAATATGATAGTAAAGTTCGTAATTCTAATTTCGAAAGAACATGCACGTATAATACCTCCTAAAGAGCATGCAGAATTAAAGTGTTTTTAAGGTTGCAAACGACATGACAGTCAGTTACATTAAACATTAAATTCTTCACATAAATTTATAAAACTTTCCTTTACGGTAGCCTGTGACGTCTACTGGAATTTGACCATTTGTTATCAGATGGCAATCCATGTAGATTTATCTGTTATTACATCAACTAACAATTATAACAATATGGTATAATAGCACTAAAAAAGTGACGCAATTTGTGTTCCAACGTACTATTAATCCATAGTTTTGGTTGTTGTTAATTTTAAATATTGAACGCCCCAAAGTTAATTTCATGGTTGCTGACACTTTGATATTGCTAATCACTTAGGAAGTCTTTTGCATCACCAAACGAGGATGCTAAAACTATATTAAGCTGAGACACCGCGTGAAATCCAACTTCGTGTTTGAATCGAAACATTTACGCAACTAATAGCATATTATATTAATCTCATCGGTGTTTTGCACAGGAATGACAAGACCTTTGGAAGAGGTCGATGACGATCTCTCAAGTCTTCTCATGAACTTCCCCTCATCTGCAATCTCGGAGCCTGAATGGTTCCGGAGCGCCTACTCAACCCCGCAGCCATCCGGCTTGGACAATGGTTGTGTCCTGATCGACGACCCCAGAGGCCTGCCGCCATTGCCCACTCCGGTTTCGGCTATGGCAGCCACTGAACTGGAATTGAACTTGTGCACACCACGGTGGAACAACATGCCCGGCATCTGTTGACAGCCAAGGTGGACTCGGAAGCAATCAAATCTAATATTTACTATAGTATTCTAGTGCTCCATGGAGGGCCTGATAGGGGTTGACACGTGGCCCATTTGGTGTCCGCCACCTCACTTCCCTTAGCCTTTTTTTTTCCTATTAATTATTAAGAAATGACTTATTATCAATAAAACATAATTATCTATAATGGGGATGCCACTTCACCTCATGTTATTTTACCTTTTCTATTTCTTTATTTCCTCTTTGAATGTAAAAAAACATTTATTTATTTGCCATAAAGTTATATTGGTTATAATAAAATAAGAAAAATATCTAGATATCATCAAAATGACCACCATGCATGGAAATGTTCAAAACAACACACGAATATGTTGTCCGTTTTCCCTTTTCCTTTTATCATTTTATATTGAGTTGTTGAATTAAAACCCATTAAAGAAACTTAATTAATCAGATAAAATAATGTATATGATACGTAACGTGATAATCTCTTATCCTATAACCGGAGATATATAGACATACTTTTCCGCATTAATATGATCTCATTAGAACAGAACTTGTTAAGATAAGACTAGAAAGACTATCAAATAATCTTGAAAATATACATAGAAAATATATTTCGAGTCAGTTCAACTATAGCTTCAGAAATGATAGATCATATTCTACAAAACTTCTCTAATTTATCTAATTCCAAAATAATTTCTTTTACTTCATGTACATCTTCTCATACCAAATTCGTTTTACATTATATGATATTAATTACATTTACTTCTTTTTAATTTATCCATCTCTAAAATGATTTCGTTTTGGTTTAGCTAAATCATGTGATATAAAAATATGCTATGTACCATAATATGAGAATTTGATTTTCTCCCGTGCATACCCGGGCCATAAGTCTTAGTTTATTAAGTAGCTCGGCAGCAAACTTAGGTGTTTTCGTTGTCTTTAGTACCGAGTTATGGAAGTGTTGTCCTAATTAACATTACAAGGGTTAGATATAATTATGATTAGCTTTTGAATTTCCACTCTAAAATATAGATTCAGCATCTCTCTGAAATGTAACATAACGTGTAGCCGCTGTTATGCGTTCCGTCGTTGGTTTGTTGTCCTCTAATTAGCTAGTTCATCGGACAATTAGAAGAAAGCAACCGATATGCAAATTTGATTGCTTAGAGTGGTTGATGTCAGCTATACATTGGCATGATTATAGGGTATAATGCAATTATTGGGAAAAGGAAAATTGGAGCCTTGGCGTATCAAATATGCATAGTCGGTGCAAGTGTCTAATGGGTTAGGATTTTGGAATATTGGAATTTGTAACATACTCTTGAAATTTAAAATTTTTCACTAGCGTGAGTACGACGAAAACCATTGTATATTATGACTTCTGTTCGATTGCCAAAGAAATGAATCATGATTTGTCACAATTGATATTCACTTATTTCACATTTTAATTAGAAGATATATTCAAATGAAAAGAAATGTGCATTCAAGAAAACAAGCACGTGATTATATAGAAGTTGGACACGACCCCATCCCCGATATTAACATCTCATCATTTACCTATTACCGCTTGATCACCAAGTTGGTCCACCTAGAAATGCCTTGAGCTCTCACAATACACCAGACGAAGAAAGCCAACAACACCTTTTAACACCAGACACATCAGAAACGAGCTCTTGAACCCTTCTTTTTGAAAATATTGGATCCGCCATTCCTCTGCTCGAGAGGCATGGATATTCATATTCTAACTACCTTATCGGAGACGGTGTTTCGTGACGTAATTTAAAACAAGAAATTGAGTTTTAATTTTCTTTTCGACTTTTAGGATCGTTTTAGTTTCTATATTTGAGTGCAAGAAGCCCTGCCATTGGTAGAATTTATACTAATAGAAATCAAATGTAGTTTACTATAGAAAACAAGAAAGAAAATAAACGAAGAAAAAGTTCAAAAGGATCGCTAGAAGGAGGGCTTGAACCTCCGACCTTGTGGTTAACAGCCACACGCTCTAACCAACTGAGCTATTCCAGCTTCGACCCCTACGCTGTTGCATATAATTTATAAACTTTAGACATTCTAGAAAGAATCTTTCTGGACTCTTTCGTGAGAGTAGAGCTTGATTAGATAAAACGACCGTATCCAATCAGCTAGTGATCTTCTGTTTGTAAAGTTATATATATATATATTTTTTTTTTTGGTCAAATGTTCGTAAAGATATATAAAAGGAGGGTTTTGACAAGGATATATGTGTGTGTGTCTCTCTCTCTCTTAAACCCTCCTTCTAATGTTCTTTTTTCACTTTTTGTTCACCTAGAGTCGGCAAAATGGGTCCATTATCCTTTTTTTTTTTTTTACTTAAATCGAACGAGCTGCGTCATATATGGGTAGTTTGAAAATTTATAAACAGACTAAAGCGGGTTTACAATAGTTTGAAAATTTATAAACAGATTAAAGCGGGTTTACAATATCAAAACCCAATTGGCTGTGGATTTCAGTTGGTCTGAAAACAAACCCATTTAAACCTAAAAAGAATAATAGATGAAGAAAACTTAAAATTAAAAAAAGAAAGAAAAGGAATAGAGAACAGTCGATGTCACAGAAAAGAGGGAGAAAGGGCAAAGAGCTCCACTACCGGCGATGATGCCCTTCGCCGCCGATATTTATACATCTTTGTAAAATTTATGATTACGAAAATCATCAATCACGCTTAGGAAATCGAAAGTCATGAATTTAAGCCTAACAAATAAAATGGCAGTTATACAGAAAGAGTGTCATGAAAGAGATCTAACCCTGTCTCAAATCTAATGCGGATAGTCAAACCTAAAACTCTAAAATCTCACGCGTATATATCGGTAGTCTTCATTTCAACTAAGGTGATTATGTAGATTTCCCCCGAAACCTAGGGTTAAGTTTCCAATCGATTTAAGATAACAAAGAGCGATGGTACATATGAATCGGTCGTGAGAAAACTTGAACCGTGGCAAAGATTCTAAAGAATAAGATAATGTAGTCAATATTTTAGTCACTTATATTTTGTCATGTTACATGAATGACAACACAATTTATTCATATTGAGGCTAGCATGCATAAAAGCTAAGTGTCTGTGTTTGGACTCTTTCGTCACGGTGCTGGCCCCCCAAATCATTTTCTAATGGACTATCCAGTGGACCAGTCGGGAAGGAAAAACATTTTTAGAACATAAAATAATTCAAGAAGAAAAGCTATACAAGCAACATTGTTTGGCAATTTAAATTTGGAAATTAATAGCCCCCTTACTATACATGCATAGCTTTGGTTAATCATTGCAAAATGCCATAAAGAAAAGTTTCCAGCGGGCTCGTGAAAGAAAAGATCGGATGCGAAAAGTATTCATTTATTTATACATATATTACAAAAAAATGATAACATGATTAGTATTATAACAATTTTGTTATTTAGTAACTTATTCATTGTCCTAAAAACATGGACCGAAAGAAGTGCACTATAAGCACTCTCGATACAAAAATTCATTATTTAGGATGCGTTTGTTCCAGAAAAGCTCAAGATTTGGAGAACATTCTCCGTTTAGAAAAATTAATCAAAGGAAGACATTTTCACGATCGAAGACAATTACATCTGATTATTTTCGTGAATGATGAAATTCATTCATTCATTCATTTTTTGTTGGCGATAAATGCGATCGTTTTTGGAAATATGTATTCGGAATCTCAGAATTTCCATGAAATAAACATGTCCAAATAGCAATAATTTTCTCGACGACATCATTATATGTAATTCTTTCTACAATTTGTCCATTTCTTATTTCCTCCCTTTCTGATATGCCGATTTGGCGAGAGCGACAAAGGCCGCGTGCCTAATGGCAGAGACCTCCGGGAGAGAGAGAGAGAGAGAGAGAGAGAGAGAGAGAGAGAGAGAGAGAGAGAGAGAGAGAGAGAGAGAGAGAGAGAGAGAGAGAGAGAGAGAGGCGAAGCAGAAGAGACATGTTCCCTTCAATGTGCCGCCAGATGAGTGTTGAATCAATCTACAAAGGCAATAAGGGTCGGTTTAGTAACGTTTCTGTTCCAGAAACAATTTCTGTTCAAAAATAGTGTTTTCTATTTCTATTCTCTAGATGAGTTTCTGAACAAAAAAACATATTTAGTAACAGCACAAAATTTCTATTCCCAGAGTAGAAAAAGAACAAAAATGCGTTTGGTAGGACACTAAAAATTTTTACTCCCAATTTTTTCATTTAACTATAAAATTGTCGGTGGAGACTTAACAATTCATATTTGGATAAAATTGGACTAAAAATAGAATAAGAATATATTATGATATAGAATTGGATGACCTTAATACGAACATAAAGAAAATTACTCCTTGTAGACAAAGCAAATATCGTGCGGTGGTCAAGGAAATTGCAATTTAGGGGACTTAACAATTCATGTTTTGATAAAATTGGACTAAAAATAGAATTTTGGGGTTTTAGGGTTTAGGGTTTCGTGTTTGGAGTTTTGGGGTTTTGGGTTTGTGTTTTGGGTTTTAGGTTTGGGATTTTAGGGTTTAGAATGTTTAAAGTTTGGGTTTAGGGATTTGAGTTTTGGGGTTTTAGGGTTTAGGGTTTCGAGTATTTTAGTTTAGTGCTATGGGATTTAGGGTTTAGGTTTTGAGGTTTAAGGTTTTGGGTTTGAAGGTTAAGGTTTAGGATTTAAGATTTGGGGTTTGGGGTTTAGTATGAGAATATCTGATGAAAGAGATAGAGCTGATCTTGTTTCTCTTTTTGTTCCGGAAACAGAAAAGTATATTTTTTTTACTTGTTATTTCTGTTCCAAATCTATTCCCTAACCACTTTTCTGTTCCGGGGAACAAAAAAACTAACTGATATTACTAAACAGATTTCTGTTCTTTTTCTGTTTCGGGGAACAAAAGAGCAAAAAACGAAAAAACAGATCGTTACTAAACAGACTCTATCTGTACTTAGATTTTTTCTGAAGTCTATTTTTCCTCTTTTAACTGCCCGTGTAAATTTAAACTTTTTTGGACCCTATCTTCTTTATCTTGAGTAGTTTTTCTCTATGTGACGGTTCACTAAAATAAAGGCACTTTTCGTTAGTTAGGAAAATATATTCTAAATTATCCATTTTCTGTGAAACAGGCTCCGTTAATGTCGCGTAAAATTTGACTTTTTTAAGAAACATTTTCCAAAGAAGTCATTTTCTAGAAAAAAAGGCAATATTTATTTATGTTTGGCTGAAATTTGAAAATGAATTGATAATTATTTTATGTAGTTTGGAAATGAAAAATTGGTTTTATTTTTCCAAAAAAACATGCACTATTTGCTTGATATAAGGGATAACTAGTCCTTGGGATCTTGGTCGCGGGAATCGAGATTTCTAGGTCCTAGCCACTAGGAATCCGAGCATGGACACCAGGGACCCGAGGCCGACCTTGATGGACTCGAGCTCGAGTGTTGATGATTTGGACACAAGAGCCATATACTGGGGCATGTTCCCTGGGTACCGGGGCACAAGTACTGGGTCTTGGGCCTGGCCTCGAGGGGCCTAAGCCCAGCCTTTGTGGACTTGGGCTTTGTTGTCGAGGAACCGAGTCCGAGAGCCAACAACTTGGGCAAGGGAGCTGGGTACTTGGGCTTAGCCGCCAAAGACCCCATCACTGCCACTCTGGTCTCGGGTTTGGCTTTCGTGGACCTAAGCACGGGCACCGGGGTCTTGGGCATGACCTCCATAGGCATCGGTGACTTGGGCTCAAGAGCCGGGTACCTAAGCATGGTCATCGAAGACCCAAGCACGAGCACCAGGTCCCAAGCCTGACCCCTATGGACCTAGGGCAAGTGCTCATGACTGGGGCACGTAAGTCGAGAACCAAGATCTTCGTAGGCGTCGGTGACTCGGGCTCAAGAGCTAGGTACCCAAGCATGTTGTTGAGGACTCGAGCATGCGTACCAAGGTCCCAAGCCTGACCTCTGTGGACCTGGGGTCGAGTGCTAGTGACTTGGGTGCGAAAGTCGAAAACCAGGGTATGATTATTGGGTACCTAGACATGGTCGTCGAGAATCCTAGCACGGGCATGGGCATTAGGGTCCTAAGCCCTACCTTTTTGGACCTGGGTTCGGGCACCGATGACTTGGACCTAGTTTTCGGGCATAACCATCGAGGACCTAGGCATGGGCACCGGGGTCCCGAACTCGATTTTTGTGGACCCAAGCTCACCTCAATGGACCCGGGGATGAGCATCGCGATTCCCATGCCCAAGCGCTGATGTGTTTAGTCCAAGTGATGTTGTCTAGTCATGATATGGAAAATGATTTCATATTTCTTGAGGTCCAAACGATGTTGTCTAGTCATATATATGGAATTTTCTTTTTAATTTATAAAAGAGGAAATAATTTTCCTGAATTTAAACATTGGTTTTCCGTTGACTTTGAAAAGATTTTCCGTTAACTCATTTTTCTAAGCGATCCAAACGTTTGGAAATGATAAAAATATTTTTCCGATATAAAATTTTTCATGAAACAAACGGAGTCTAAACATATCTCTATTTTCTTGTGACCAGTACAAGTCGAACTTTGACTGCCATTAAAATGAAAAGGAAAGAAAAGATAAAGTTTAACCAAATAATAACTAATGTTTTATTTCAAATGTATCTTCGGAGAGGGAAAAAAAAAAAGAACTAACAAAGGAATTTATATAGACTATCACACTCTTTACCCGAATTTTCTCTTGACAAATAAATCAAAGCACATTGATGGAGGTCATCATATAGTCTAGTCTCTATCCATGTCGGTTGGAAACGACCCAAAAGTTCCTGAGGGTTCTGGTTTGGATTTGACTAATCTTTTCATACTTGCTTCTTGCATTGCATTTTCATTTAAGGAATAAGAAAACGAAAGAACAAAAGGTGGGGAATTCATAGAGTTCTCTTCCACACCTTCATGTGGGATCGGTCAAGAAAGAGCCTGTCGGGTAAACGTGGACAGTCCACGAAGGAAGACTCCACTTGGAAGCAAGATATCTAGCGAAGAGTCCACAGACACGTTTAGGCAAATTCTTACACAAACTAGTTGTGTTTGTGTAAACTTTAATGACAATTTGAGCAAGCCAAATGTTGGGCTCGCTGACGTCCAGTCAATTATCGGATCTCGACCCGTCATTCCTGGCCCATCATGGCCCACCAGGAGAGGCCCAGTGGGCCCTCATCCCGTCTGTGCTCACACCATGCCTCGCATGACCTTGGCCCTCCTGTTATTTCCCCATCAAACATGAGCAGAGAGGCGGTACGTTTCAATGAGTTTGGCTGACGAAAATCCCACTTGCTTTCGGTTCTCTGGACATCTCTCATTTTCTAGAATCTCCCGGCTCATTATATAAGCGATCCGCATGATCCGTGAGAACTCACAGTACAGGGTTTTTTTTTATCAAAATAAGGGGCGAGCAGAGAAATGAGTCGGTACGGGGCTCGGCCATTGACGAAGTGGAGTTCGATCTTCACTAGGAGGTGCATGGCCGTTGTGAAAGAGCAGAGGACGAGGTTGTACATACTCAGGAAGTGTGTGCTCATGTTGTTGTGTTGGGACAAGTATGGAGAGCAATAGGAGAGATGATTTTATAGGTAAATGCATAACTCTGTTCATAAGGTTTGTACTCTCTTAGACTGTGACAGACAAAAGTAGGCCAAAGAATGGCGCTTCGAAGAAGGTGAAGGATTAAACTTAGGGTTTTGCCTTTTTTATCGATGAAGATTTCCGTGTTTCATCGCAAGAAAAGGGATGGATCCATGTACTTTTAAGTTGGTTATGTATTTAGCTCGACATGTATTGATACGATTCGAAGGATCGATCATGGTGATCGAAGTCCAGACTTAAAACAGGAAAAGTGGTGAGGCATGCATACGGTTGTTTTTGGCACCGGTTAGCCATAAGTACGCAATATGCTATTTGCTCTTGCATTGATGGAGACTGTTGCTTGTATTACGTTCTGAGCTGACAGGAGCTTTTCTACATTTCAGAAGGCAAAGCCAAGCCACATGCTTAAGACAAAGTCTCTTTTGAAGGCGAAAAACACAGAGCCGTGTACTCAAAGCACGGATGGAAACGCCTGATAGGTAAATTGCGTGCACCCATCATTAATGGCAAGCCTGTGGAAATTATCTAAACCAAGCCAATGTCATTACATTAACACTTAAAGAGAAAGTACCTAGCCACACAGTTGCTCGTGTAGCGTATCTATAGCTCATTGATTTATCTTAAAATGGGCGATATCAAGATCGCCGAGGATTTTCGTTCCGGTTGCAGCTCGTGTCTGGTTTGGCCAGAATCAGATTCTCCCGGACCGTCGAAACGCATGCGGATGCATCGCTAAATTATTCGAGGCTCGCGCATGCGACCAAGGCTTATGCTCTCTTCGATTGAAATTCCGGAAGTGCTCACGAGAATTTGTTCTGCTACGCATATCCTCGTTCCATGCTCGAACAGATTGGCCACATTGCGCGTGTGTTATGCTCGTTTAAGCACCCTGTCATGGCAATGGCATTGCATAAAGCATGAAGAAGGTGTAATAAATTGGCCTGTGAAACGTGAACCATCAAGCGCTTTGACAAGAGGAGCTAAGCTAGGATTGCGAACCCCGAAGAGACGTGAAAAGCTCAGAAGAAACAAAGGAAAAAAGCATGAATTGTCACAGAGCCTCTCTCTCTCTCTCTCTCTCTCTCTCTCTCTCTCTCTCTCTCTCTCTCTCTGAGTCTTCTATTCAATTAAATTCTGAGGCTGAACAGAGGACCGACATCCCCCCATCACCCCACCATAAATGCAAATTAAAAGCTCCAGATTTGTCTCTGCGAGGTTCCCCCGTTCACGATTCTTGTACCTTGTCGAGTTAATGTTCCAACTCCCTTTCTCGTTAGGTGGTTGAAGGAATTCAATGCCCAAGAACTATGTTCAAAATGCCTTTGTCTATAACAACAACAACAACATGTCAATCGACACCCCCACCATGTGTCTCTCTGCTCTCTGCTCTCTCATGGCCCTTCTTTCTTTAAAAGAGGCAGAGTCGCCTCCTTCATTCCTCACTTGCTCTTCACTAGAACAAACCCAGGATCGTAACTTGCTTTTTTGAATTGGTCTGTCAGCTTCATTCATTAATAACGTCCAGCTTTGTCTACTTCGTTTTTTTCCTAGAAAGTACTATGTTGTTGTGCACTGCAAGAACCCCGAGCGAATGAAGATGACTCATTCTCTCTGACTTACAAGACTAATGATTCGGGTTTCGGATCGACTAATGCTTCTTCGTTTTCTTCGTATTAAGTTTGTCATTTTAGATTGGTGAGTGTATCAGATATCTGTCCAAGCTAGCGCATATGGTCGATACCGGGCAGATCAGGAGGACGGGGTATTGGTGCGGTTCAATAAGAAAGCCGCGTTTTTAAGTGTCTAAAACCCTGCTTTTTGATTGAGCCGTGCCAATATCGCGTGCCCATTGTCACTCCAGTTTCGGCTCCTCCGGTCCATCGCAAGAATCGCCGAGGTACTTTCTGCTCTTTTCCCCTCTTAGCCTCAGGGGTCAGGCTAGGATCATGTTTAACGTTTCGAAAGCACGAATCGCTTCGTTTACCGAGTGCTTTCCGTTAAGGCAATAGATTGTGCACTCTTCAACATAGTATTGTACTCTCTTCTCATTACCGAAATCTCGAAAACTGAACCATCAGATCTGCTTTTATGTTCTACTCGATAGAGCTGAGTGTTTAATATCTTGTTTAGATGGCATTTTGAAGCCGTACTAAGTTAAAAAATCTCGTACAATCTAGTAATGTTATCTCGATACATTATCTGAATCGGGTTTGCGTAAGTTTAGTGCTACACTTTCACGAGGGACTCGTCTCTTAGCTGATGCCTATACAGCGCAAGAAACTTCTTGCTTAGCACTCCAAAAAGGTGAGCTTTTTCGAACGATTTTACACCTACACTTTCGTTTTGCTGTCTGTACGTGTCTTTTCTCAAGTTCATTTGCTTGATCCCATGAATACAGTTTTCCTTGGGCAAAACGTTCCGAAATTTTTAACGGTGGTGTGGCCCTTATGTAATGAATTTTGGGATTTGGTCTGATTTAGGACTTCTAATTTTGCTTGCTCTAATTGAGGAGTCCAACTAGCTGCCATCCCATGTTATTTTGCCCTAATTTGGGTAACTTTGACTACCAAAGGATGATTGTGACTGATTAAGCCAAAGTTTCCAATGATATAAGAAGCCACGAGAGGCGAAGAAGATGACTACTAGTTTTGTAAAACAGCCCTCGAATGCCGAAGATGGAAATTTGTCGGCAAGGATAACTTGCTAGCTAAAGGCATTCCAACGGCAAAGCAATGTCGCTAGTACAAGGGAAAATCTAGCCTGTATGCGTGATTACCAACAATACTACCTTTTATAGTATTTTTGTTTATACAGCGTGACATACTTTTGTGATGTCACCACAATCAAGATTCTTTGTTCGTTTTATATCGAAGAATACAAATGCACATATCCTAAAATGGAGACTCTTAATTGGTTTGATCATATCATATCAACGCAACAAGCCACATGACAATACCGTTACACGATGCGATGTATTTTCTCATCCTTTCGAGATTTGAACTCCGGATCTCTTATAACATCAAGGGTTTCTTATCACATGACAATACGTGGTATTTGTGGAGCTTGATTAATCGACAGAGAAAACTCAGCGACATCCATGAAGAATTGAAGATGACATCCACACCGTTTAGCTTTCTTTTCAAGCAATCAATTTTGGTACACCGTAGTTGTCCCGCTCTGTTCCTCTGTTGTTTTCAGCAGTCTGATAGAGTATGTTTGGCTATGCATCTTCAATCATGCCATGCAATGACCATAGTGATCGTCTTGTGGCTGCAGCGGTGAGTTATTTTTTACCTTGCAGTAAATTCATAAATTCACAGATCTCGGGTTCAATTTCCACATGTTCTATATCTAATTGAATTAGAGTACAATAAAATGAAGCTAAACCACATAACAACTCGCCCAAGGATGAATAGGCAAGAATGTGTCCAAAACTAACTCGCCCAAGGATGAATAGGCAACAAGATGAAGCAGCATGATTATCTAGTCCTCAAAAATTGACACACGAGGTGGAGGCACATATTGTGTGAAACTGAAGCGTAAGGAAACACACTTCACCGTCACCGTGAGGAAGCGAGCATCAGGATTCTGGAGAGAGTAGAGGACAGAGAACACTTAAGTGAGAGAAGGCAGGCCACAATAGCCACCGCAGAAAGATTTGGTCTTTATTATGAGCTCGAGAACCAGTGGAAATGTAGATTACAAAATGGCCTTCAAGCCATCAAAGAATGAGTAGGGTGGTAATGGCCTCTTGCTTTCTCTTTCCTGCCATTTCGATCGCCACTTCCTTCAATAAAATGGAAGTGATCCACGAAGCGAGGCATCTCTCTCTTTCTCCATCTACTTGTCTGTATAATAGGATTTTTCTGTACTCACGGACAGAAAAAGAAAAGAAAAGATGCACCCTAGAGAAGGACTCGCAAACCTGTGTTTACACCTAGCTCCACATCTTCCTGAGTTGGGAAGACACTCAAGTCGAGCCTCCTACCGAAAAGTAGCACTCCACAAAGCATTTTCACCTTCACCGCACCGCCGATGGACTTCTTTGATCCTCTCAACAGATCTGCAGATTCCGCTGCAGCTCCAGTCAAATGAAGCAACGCATATGTTCCCTGCCTGGGCCTTCCATTCACAATCTGCAGGAACCAGTAGCTTTTAAGGATAGTCGAAAAACTAACTACACTCCGAAATAACTGTGAAGGTTAAATTTCATGCCTGCAAATGGTATAGAGTATGACAGTTGTGGTACACTAGAGGGCAGACTAAAATTTATGGAGATGGTAGTCATGACTCATGATTGCAAAGTATGGTTCAGATTGCTATTTCAGCATTATGTGAGTGCCGTGAAAACCGTTGTCATCCCAGAAGAATAAAACAGATACCATACTGATAACTTCAGTAGAAATTATTTATCTTTACCTGGCGGAGTGCCACAACATAATCTCCTGTCGTCAATGTGCTCCACGTCAAGTCCTATGAACCAAGATCCCAGCGAAACATCCTCGTTCGCATATTTGTGCAGAACATGCCTAAAATATTGAGGTGAAAAAAAATCTTTGATTAGGAGTATTCAGACATGAAATTACTGTCTAGAGGGCAAAGCAGAACTTTCCTATCTATACGATTTGTTCATCTCATATTTTACCCAGTATACATGAATCTTACTGGTTTATGGATATATATGTAGCTAAATCCTTTGAGATAGCATATAACTGTCCGGTAGCATGACGAAAGTACTTGTTTCCTGCCTCGCCAAATTTCCAATGCTCAGGTTCATGGTATCTCACTCCTCTGTACGGTGAGAGCAGAGTTTTAAGTGTCACCAAGGGGGAAAAACACTTCTAAGTAGAATTACAAGAAAGAGTCGATTAAAAAAACAGAGAACTTACTTTTGAGAAAGTACCGGACCAGATTTCATGCAACCAATATATACTCTTCGTTTGGGTCGGTGTCTAACTAGAGTTTCCCCAAGTGTTGCTACAACAGAATAAAGAGAAGACTTTAACAGTAGCATAATATAGGAAGCAAACTATCATATGCTCAGAATTATGATACAATTATGTTCTGCTCCTTCCTCTATCAACCATAATTTCGAGTGAACGATTCTCTTCCCTCATTTTCTTGACATGAAGACTAAATAGATGTTCTGCCTATCCTTAATTCTTGAACCTCTCAGACGCTAACGATTAAACTATCTACCTATATTCACATGAACGTCATCATCAACTTTGACGTAAAAATCTGCATCCCATGAAGCAACAGCTGTGGCAAAATATATCTTTGTCTTGGCGGACAACTCGAGATATCCTTCGACATGTTCCTGACAAAAAGGAAACGAAGTAACATGAATTTTGTCCCCAATCAGAACTATGAAATTTTTAGATGAACAAGTCTAAGTGTAATGAACCAACAGAAGATCAATATTTACCAGTCTCAAAAAATCTCCATGTTTTCTGTCCTCTGCTTCAACAGCTCGGTCTAGGATACCCCCTGGTGTAGCACTAGATGGGAAAAAAATTATATTAAGAATTATTTACTGCATGTTCGTTTGTAATGTCACCATAATAGTACATTTCACCAAAGCAATATTTATGAGTGTTCCTAAACGGAAACCTACCATTCATAGTATTAGGTATTCCTATGCTAACATCTTACATAAGCTCATGTCAATATGATGAACCGGCAACACTTTTATGCATGAAAACAAAGGAGTCATTGGCAATTTACTTTTACAGTTCATTAACTTTATAAATTCAATAATGGCTTAAAAGCAGTGCCTCTGAAAACTGTATCCAACTTATGTTGGTGAGTGTGTAGAGAGTAGAGACCTTTTGATAGTTGGCAAAACCAAATATTTGATATCTGAATTTGAAGTATCTGAGTTTCATAAGGCTAAACCATGCATAGAATTAGTTTTCTTTCAAATGTTATCTGATTATATCACAATTTTTGCAAGAAAAGTGCCAGAACACACACACACACACAAAAGTTCCCCGTGGAGCTCTAATCCTGTGTGCATAAGTAATTGAATTTGTTAACTATATGCTTCTGTGGATTGCAGATGGAAAAACCAACTGCTTTCTTAGTATCAACTATAGATACAATAATAGCATCCAGACAAGTCTACATGTACAAGCTTGCACTCGTCAACCAAAAGCTCAAAAGTAGACATCATTGAGCCTGCTTATCTAGATTATGAGTGCCAAATGAAGACAATTTCCAACCTGTGCCCAATGACAAAGCGCACAATGATTCCCTTCTCTTCTTCCAGCTTTTTCCTTTTCTCACCTGCGATCCCAGGTTTCACAGAAGTATTCAGTCAATGGAAACATCCAATAACGGTCATGAAGATTAGCTGAGCATGAATAGATAGGAAATGTACCGACCTTGAGGCATCCATGTAGCGCGAATTGAATCTCTTCTCTTCCTGCTGCTAAATGCAGTATTCACTCCTATAACCATAAGATACTTTCTCCTATGGGTAGGTTCGTCTGTTTTTATGTCTTCTGATGAAGGAGCCCCGCTGACAATAGACTCATGTACAGCCCTTGCAGCTGCTAATTCCATCTCCAGATTAGAAATGGTCTTGTCCAAAGTGCTAAACACACGAAACAAAACATTGTCAAAATAAAAGACATTAGGACGGCCTACGATCCCATCAAATATCAATTACCGATGGCACCAATAAAAAAAGTAGGCGGGCCTTACTGTATGGCATTGTGAGTTCTAAAAACCTCCCCAATAATGTCCTTTGAGTCACGCTTCACTTCCTTCTGATGCAGCTAAAGAAAATATACCGGAATATCAGGAAAATAATAAAAAGATAAAAGACCAGAAGAGAGAGATAAAAAAAAAAACGTTTTAATTGGAGAACTAGAATCTCTGGCCAAAATGTGAAAATGGTGAACCATGATCTGCTGGTCCAAGTTGTGGACACTCACAATTTTGGGGTTACAACCTTCGGAAACCAGTTTCAATTTTTCGGCTTCCACAGCAGTGGTCCGCGCAATGCCTTTAGATTCAGGTACTGTCCACCTGTTATCAATTTACATTTGTCTTCAGAATGTAAAATCCTGAGTCGGCATGACTTCCATTCACAAATTCTATTGAAACGTTGCAAACTATTCTAAAGGCAAAATGAATCAGGGTAAAAAAAAATTGACAAGACAATTACTTGCTCAAATCAGGTCTCTTCAGCAATGCGAAACAAACATCCAGTAATGGGTCTTCCTAGAACTTTTCCTTCTTTTTTGTTAATGCCATCTGTTTTATTTTACCGACAACTTAGTATTCAAACATCAATTTTAAGGTGTCCAAGATTAACCATTCAAGCTATGGTGTGAAGAGAAAATGAAAGGGGATCAGAAAAGGTGATAAAGTTTCACCTAACAGTTGCACTTCCAACTACCAGAGATACGATAATGAGCATTAAGTTATATCAGATGCGGGAGTTCCTTCCGCTCATTAAATGGGGATGGGGGCAAATTCAGAAGGCGGTGAAAGCTTGGGTGGGCCAGAGATCTAAATCACCAACTAAACAGCAATTATCAATGAATTTGAAAGGCAAATAGCAATTATGCCAAAACTGAGGAGACAATTAAGCAATCAGTGGAACAATGAACAACGTCCAAATCATCAGACTTTAGCCGTTAAAACATCCCCAAGATTGAGAGAGATGTTACTGGGGTGAATTCTAAGTTGGATCTAGCTCACCCTGTCAATTACGAAGAAGTTACCAGGTCAATTGAAGCAACAAAAAACCCAAAAAAGGAAAAAAAAAAAAATCCTGCCGGCAAATTCCGAGTCCAACAGTGAAAACTGCAGAGAACCCAATTAAAATTTGCGCAACCTCAAAACGATTCCGAAAGAACCTCACATCAAGAAACGCATTGAACTTGCTTGTCTTCATCACTTCTTAGAAAAGGAAAACGCAAGAATCAGCCGAGAATGAATCTTCCAGCGATTGCAAAATCGTTCAAGCGAGCCTTGCTCAGTTGAAACCAAACCAAAAAATTGGCTCAAAACCCCACTAGGAGTAAACCCACAAATGGACCCGTGATCATTAGCCACGAAAAACTGAGCTACCGAAAGAAAGAAAAGGAAAAAAAAAAAAAGAAGAAGAAACGCAACCGGACGCATCTGAAGACGAAGCAGAATTGGGAAACTGGAAGCAAAGAATCACCTGCTCGTGAAGAGCATCCCAGCGCAGAAGCAACCCACGCAAAGCAAGAGCGTCCATTTCTTGGATACGACGGTTTTAGGAGCTTGCTCTCCTCTGATCTTCAGCGACATCTTCCGTCTCCCCTCCAATCCCTCCTCTGTTTTTCCAGCTCCCCCCCCACCCCCACCACGGAGCCCCTCCTCAATGCTCACGGCACAACATACCCATTCGCAGGCCCCAGAGAAAGAGAGAAAGAATCGAATAAAACACGGGACCGATGCAGGAGGAGAAGACCCGGGGAAGGGCTTTGGGAATCGGCAGAAGAATGGTATCGTTCGGAGGGAGAGAATGCGTTTTCGCAGAGAGGCGTACTCTGTTTTTAAATTCGGGCTTCCCGTCGTTTTTTTTCTCTCTCCTCTGCCTCTCTCTCTCTCTTTCTATGTAAGTCTCTCTGCTTTGCAGGCAAGGGACGTTGAACAGAAGTGAGAAGACCCAGTAACTGCTCTGCTCGCGGGAGCAGAATTTACCAAACCGTCCCTGTCGGACCAAACCTTATTCAATGTACTTCCACGCCAACCTTTTTTTTTTTTTTTTTAGGTTATCGCACCCCCGTCGTTTTTCTCGTATTCTTCTTTGCCCGAAAATGATTCCTCGTCCAATTTATTGGGATAATGACACAAACAGTTCCTGAACTTTGGCTCAATATATAATTTAATCCCTGAACTTTTAATTTGTTCAATATAATCCCTGAATTTTAACCCAATATTCAATGTGGTCCATGAACTTTCAATTTGTTCAACTTGATCCCTGAACTTTTAGTAAATGTTCAATTTAGTCCCTGAACTATATGAAAATATACAATATAGTCCCTGAACTTGAATTAATGGAAGGACTACATTGAACATTGTTATAAAGTTCAGGGACTATATTGAACATGTACCAAAAGTTTAGGGATCACATTGAACAAATCGAAAGTTCATGGACCATATTGAACATTGGGTTAAAGTTTATGGACTACATTGAATAAATTAAAAGTTCAGGGATCAAATTACACATTGAATCAAAGTTCAGGGACTGTTTGTGTCATTTTTCCCAATTTATTTGTTTCCTTCGTCAAAGCTTTGTCATACTAATGCTTTTTTTTTTATTTCCATCCAAGCTACGCTTTTTCTTAATTAAGAGGTAACGATTTTTCGACACGACCGAGCCCCCGGTACAAATTTAATGTGAAAAACACAAACACAGCATGACAGAATAAGGGACGACGAATCAACATGATTGATACGTTTTCAATATGTATTTTAATCGGGTTAAGATATCGACATGCTAAAAAAAAACAAGAAAATGACAAAGACATTAATTAGATACCATATATACACACGTATATATGTATTGAAATCAATTGCGAATGGAGCAACTTTGGAGCTTTGATTCTAGTTTGGTAAAGATATCCCAACATGCAGCATCTTTTCTTCTTCTTTTTCTTTTCTTTTTTTCTCTTTTTGAACTTGTCTAAGGCTAGATCGGACAACCAAACAGCCCTATCGCTAGACCTTCCGTTAAGTGTTCTTGGGCTTTGCCCTTGCCGATTCTGGAACCCCAGCGTCGGCTTAGATGTTTTGTAATGTAGCTGCGATGACAGCATACAACTTTTGTTCTCTGAAAAATAAAAAAAAGTCGTCTACGAATTTGCAATGTTATTATTTCTCACATGAAGCCTTAATACCTTGGTCGTTATACGATGTTGCGTATTCAAGTGAGCTCAAATTCATTCATCATATCTTTCGGATTTCTATCGTCTTGATTTCCAATTGGGATAATGACACCAATAGTCCCTGAACTTTGACTTAATGTGCAATTTGGTCCCTGAACTTTTAATTTGTTCAATGTAGTCCCTGAACTTTAACATAATGTTCAATTTGGTCCCTGAACTTTTAATTTGTTCAATGTGGTCCCTGAACTTTTAATATGTGTTCAATTTAGTCCCTGAACTATATGAAAATGTTCAATATAGTCCCTGCACTTGAATTAATGGAAGGACTATATTGAACATTTTCAAATAGTTCAAGGACTAAATTGAACACATATTAAAAGTTCAGGGACCACATTGAACAAATTAAAAGTTCAGGGACCAAATTGAACATTAGGTTAAAGTTCAGGGACTATATTGAACAAATTAAAAGTTCAGGGACCAAATTACACATTGGGTCAAAGTTCAGGGACTATTTGTGTCATTTTCCCTTTCCAATTCTATGGGAAACTTGGAAAGAGCATTAGGCAACGACAATTTCTGATCGCAACGGTGTCCATCTAGTAACTATGACCCCGATCCATGATATGGCAACTCATTAGACAGTGCATTTCCTTGACTGTTATATTTTATTTGGTACGCCACGTTTACGCGTAGTTTGGGAGGAGGGATCAGAACAGAAAGGGAAAGGGTTCTGAGAATGCAATCTTATTCGGGCAGAGAGAGGAAGGGTCAAGAGGGATTGAAAGAAATTACAAGGCATTGGTAAAATCATCTTTATGTACATCTTAAATCCCCTTAAATCGGTCCAAATATGGAGAAATTAGGAGGAATATGTGCATCGATAAATCCACATTTCCTTCTTTTTCTACTCATACCCTTTTCTCTATCTATTTCTAAGTATAAAAAGGCGGATTCATGTCATGATTCGCAATTTTCCTTTTCTTTTCCCTCGGCAAGGATCCAAACAACACTAGAACTCAATCCGCTCATGTCATTTCTCCTCTTTTCTCTCGTGATTACTCAAATCCCTTACTTTTCAGTCACTTCTCAGCGAAATCCTTTTAAATCATTCCTCTTCTTTCTGCTCGTGATTATTTGAAATTCCCCATTTTTCTATTTAATCGCCCCTACCAAACATGCAGTCGATCTTTAATGAAATCTTTTAATGCTGGCAGAACATGTCCTTAGATTGATTAGCACATGAACCTCATGTGGCAAGGGGATTAGCCCCAACATTTACCTCTCTCCATGATCACATGACATTGATTTAAATTAAGGGTGTTCTCTGCTGGAACATGCACTACACTTAAGTAGCACCCCAAAAGGGGTTGACATACAAGCACTGTGCATGTGCAAAGTGTCCAAAAGAAGAACTACTGGCTATCAAATTAGGGCATGTTTAGTAAGGTTTCTGTTTTTCTGTTCCTTTGTTTTTCGAAATAGAAAAAGAACAGAAATCCATTTTGTAACGTCTGTTAGTTTTTTTGTTCCCCTGAACAGAAAAGTGATCAAGGAATAGATTTGGAACAGAAATAAGAAGTAAAAAATATCTACTTTTCTATTTCTGAAATAAATAGAGAAACAATATCAGCTCTCTCTCTTTCACAAGATATTCTCATACTAAGCCTTAAACCCCAAATCCTAAACCCTAAACCCCTAAATCTTAACCCTCAAACCTAAAACCCCAAAACCTTAACCCTCGATACGCAAACTCTAAAACCCATAACACTAAAATCAAAAACCCTAAACCCTAAACCTCAAACCCCAAACCCAAATCCCTAAAACCCTAAACCTCAAATCCTAAACCCAAAACCCCAAAACTCCAAACCCGAAACCCTAAAACCTAAACTCGAAAATCGTAATTCCAAACCCGAAACCCTAAAACCTAAACTCGAAAATCGTAATTCCAAACCCTAAATCCTAAAACGCAAAACCCTGAACCCTAATGTGACATCCGGAAATTTCGTAATAATATGTTTGTGAAGTTAGAAATTTTCTATGTTTGAAAATGATACTTAGATATAACGCTAAGTATTATTTAAGTTAGTATTCGTGCGAACGCGTAGAAATTTTTATTGGATCGTATTTCGCAAAGCGCGGATTCGGAAACGTAATTGTACCTAGTTCGACGTGTTTAATATTTAGACGTTGTCGTGTAAGTTAATCGTAGTGCGGTATTAATTAAATTACCGTTGTCTTGGTAACTAATGGGTATTATTATTATTGATTAATCTGGTTAAGTAATGTTAGCTATTTTATTTTTTAAATTGCCGTTAAGGGAAAGGGGAAAGATATCCTCTCAAAATATCCCCCTGGACTCTTCTTCTCTCACGTGACTATTGAAGGAAAAGTTGACCGAATGCCATTTGTCCCCTTGAGCTAGACACCTAAGCCTCGGGTAATCATTTTCCTCAGCCAATACTCCTACGATTAAGCCACTGATTTCTTCCACCTGGCCATGATGAAGAGATAAGGTGCCACATGTGAATACAATGAATTTACCCACTCCTTCGTATACTTCTCAGTTTTCATCTTCGTCTGGGTAATTACCGAAGACAATTTCATCCAAACCGACACTCTCTCCTTCATTTTCTACTCTCACCACCACCGATCCAAAAATCTATGGAAGAGTTTTAACCTTTGGGGTGTTCAGATTCTATACAATGTAAGTGAAAACTCCAGGTTTAAGCTAAGTAAATCTACTTGGCACTTTTAACTTGGTTGCTTGAGAAAGGTTATTTTGATATGCAATAGTGAGGTTGTAATGATGGTTGAATCTGTTTTGCTAGTTATGTGCATGTTTAAATGGATGTGATTTGTTTCTTTAAAATTATAGTGAAAATCTACAAGTGGAATGTTTAAACTTGAACATGTAAGTGTTATCCTTGAGGTAATCGTTGAACTCTTCTTATTGGTTTATGTATGTTTAAACATAATAGAAAATCGTTTTACTCAAAGTGATGATTATGTTTATTTTTTAAACTGGGCAGATTTTTAATCTCAAAATTTTGGTTCTAAATACCTTTGAAAAATGTTTGGGCTTTACTTTTAAAATTGATTCAGACTTTTCTGCTCAGACCTTATTTTCTGAATTTGAACTTTCTTCTGAGTCTGAACTTGCTTCTGATGACTCGAATTTTCTTCTGATGATCAATCCAATTTTGCTTCTGATGATCCGAACTTACCTCTGATGACCGAATTTGCTTCTGAACTCGAATTTGCTTATGAGCTGAGTTTGCTTCTGAGATTGAAATGTATTGCTTCATATTTAATTGCTCGGATGATGCATTTCATGATTTTAAAGTACAAAACCGTGATGGCTCGGTATGGGACGGGCCAAAGCGAACTTTTGCACGTAAATACTTGGTTGTCATGACTTACATGAGAATAATAATAATAACGTCACCCATTTAGTGGTGTGTGACG